ACCGCCGTCCGAGTTGTTGTCGGACGACTCGTTATTGTCACCGTTATGGTTGCCATCGTCCGAGCCATTGCTGTCGCTGGAGTCACCGCCAGGCGACGATGGCGTTTGGCCAACAACAAGAGGGATCGAGGGGTCGATCATAGACAGCAGGGTCTTCACGGACTCACTAGGCTGTTCGTAGAGGCGCGAGATGGGGTTGTGAAGCATCTTACGCAACCCATCCACTTGATCGTTGGGGATGTAAGCCTGAGCCACGGTAGCGATGTATCCAGTGCTCTCCGAGTTGTCGTACGGCTTGATGGCAAACATGGTGATCTGCTTGGCCAGAACCTGGAGAGCATACTCAAGACCCTGAGGAATATAGAGGAAGATCTGAGAGGATGACAGCGTGGTTGTGGCGACGAAGTTGTAGCGGAGCCTGCCGTCGAAGCCCAGCTGGATCAACGTCGAGTCGGCGGGGATGTTGTCTAGACCAGTGGCAGGAGAGATCGACCCAGGAAGTTGAGTAGGAGTGTTGGTGGCGGTAGCAGTATCATGTGTTGCGTAGTCCGTGGTGGCAGGAGTTGGAGGTTCCACAAGGATAGTAGACGGAATCCAATCGTTCGACTCGCTGCTGGTAGATGTGGCAGGCTCCTGAGTGGTGATGCTTTCAGTCGTCTCAGTCGTCGTAGGCTGCTCGGTGGAAGTTGGAGCAGGCTTAGCAGTCGAGGTTGGAGCGGGCTTGCTAGTAGGCGAAGGGATCTGCGTGGAACCGATAGCAGGACCGGAAGAAGCAGGCGCAGTGCTAGTGGGAATCACGGGTCCGCTGGTAGCTGCTCCAGTGGGAACACTTGGGCTAATGGTGGAAAGAGAAGGACCGAAAGTGGAATGAGAGCCCGGTCCTCCGGGAATCAACACACTGGGCCCGGGCGCGGATGTGCTGGAAGGTATTCCAGTTCCAGTCATACCAAATGCAGAGCTTAATGAGGCGCCAAGGTCAATGCTAGAGGCCGCGGTCGAAGTCGCATCGGGAATGCTGATATTGACCGTTGGGAGAAGGATTCCAGTGCCGGTTGGCTCCAAAGAGCTGGTGCTCTTTCCAGCAAGACCAGTGCCTGTGGCAGTTGCGGTCGAGTTTGACCCAGTCTCAGTCTTCTTGCCGGTGATATCATCCCACAGGTCGGAGATTCCGTTCAAGAGGCCCGAGGGAGTCGCCGTGGCAGAAGAAGAGGCGTCCGACGACGATGCCATGCCGGTAGATGTAACAGTAGCATCATCGGTCTTGGGCCCACCAGTGCTCTTGTTGGCGTCAACCGAAGATGAGTCGGAGGTGGACTTCGACTTTGCGGAGGTAGATCCGCTAACGGAATCAGTCGCACTAGCAGAGACACCTGTCGTAGAGCTAGAAGGGTTGAAAATGCTGTTGAAAAAGCTTCCAATCTCATCGCCCAGGTTGGCGTCATCTGAGGAAGACGCGGAGTTCGAAGATTGAGTTCCTGAAGCAGAAGTCGAGCCCGCCGCGGTAGGCTGAGGAGAAGTTTTCTTCTCCGAAGCCGCTGATTTGGAATCAGAAGTCGCGGTGGGAATAAGGACAGAGTTCTTTTCCGATGTCGAGGTCGCACTAGTAACGGTCTTCGCGCCAGCCGGGGCTGTTGGGACGGTACCGGTAAGGGTGTGCGTCACGCCATTGGCGTCGATGGAAAGAGTAATGGGTATGACGACAACGGGCGGTGATGGGTCGACCTGGGAGGCAGTCGTGTCCTGGCCCAAGGACTTCAACCATGACTCGAATCGGTTTTCGGAGGCGGTCCTGGATGCCAGGTCCGAAGAGACCTTGTAGTTGATTTGGCGCTTGAGCTGCTTAGGGATGAATCGCGGCTTGGTGGGAGCTTCAGCGGAGACAAGGTCGAGGCCACCGAGAGCCAGAAAGGCCGTCAACAAAGACGTTGTTGACGGAACCATGGCGTAGGATTTGTAAAAGAGTGCAATGACAGGTGAAAAAGAGCGGCTAATAATCGAATGGAATTCGCAATGGTGCGAAGCCGGGGGCTGGTGATGATGAATCGTTGGATGAATCGGTAGTGAATCGCTTCAATTCCAACCTTCCTTTGCAAATCCAACAGACCAAATCAACACAGCGAGTCAAATAGTCGTACACGGGAGAATGAGACACAGTCACAAAGGCTCCTCTATGTTCGAAGATCGATAAGGGAACCCGAAGATATTGTCACGAGATAATCAAACGAACGAAAGGATTACGTCGAGACGGAGATTGATAGTAGATCGATCGAAAAAGTACGAGACTAAGCGTAAACAATCAATGAAAGAGTGGCAGGGGACAACCAAGGAACCCCTTTTTGGCGATAAAAATTGTAACGAGTGTGGGATGCAGCAAGGAGTGACAGAGCGACGAGATCTAAAACAAAAGTGTCAAAAACAAGAAGCGGAAGGTTGGTTGGTAGTGGTGGTGGAGGTGGTGGTGGTTAGGGACTTAAAGTCGATTCGTACCTGAAGGCGCGACCGTGGGAAGGGGGCGGTGGACGCAAGGAGGATCAATGGACGGATGAATTGTCAGGTCCCAACGGGTCGTTGACGCAGGAAGAAACAATTCACAGAGAGGCTACGCCAACGACAACTCCAAGATAGCGAAACATCAGGAGCACGAAGCAAAGAAGAAAATGGAAAAGAGGAATAATGGTGGAAGAAGAGAGAAAGGAAGAGAGGGAGAGAAGAGGAGACGGGGAGGAAGAAGGGGAGATTACGTTTACTTTGTTTAGTTAGTGTGTACCTTTTAGTACCTGAACTTACGGAGTAGCGTATTTTAGTGTCAGGGGGGGGGGAATAATCAAAGGGGTCGTGGCAATTAGGGAAGGTATACTCCTTTAGAGGCTGGATGTTTTGTTTTATGATACCGTATTTTACCGGGGTTACTCATCCTCTGACGAACACAATCGACGTGGCACAAGGAGAATATATAATATTAAGATAAATAATAAATAATAAATAGCCTCTGTCATATCGTCCACGTGTGTAAGGTACGAATTACTTTTACCTATTGAGAGAGGGAGAGGGAGAGAGAAGAAGAAAAAAAGAGGAACCCAAGAATTCATCATCCTCAGCGTTTAGGCACCACTCTCTTCCAACAACAACAATAATCCTTCTCGCTAAGATCAGTGGAGAGACTGTTTCCACGCACGATATACTGTATGTACCCTCCAACCTCCATCGCAATTGGATTCGATCATCTCCATAATGCAGAAGTCTGTTGGTTATTTCGTTGGTTAGCTAGTTAGTCCGCCCACGATGAGAATTGCCTGCAGGCATAGTGCAAGTCTAGACAATGGAGGTATTTGGATCGACATGGTATCGACCAACATCGACTTTCACTACTGATATTGGATGTTTGTTATAAGTCCAGAGTAATAATGGGAATACGACAGGGTTAGTCAACGGAAGACCATCGTCATTCTCGATTGATTCGACAATAATACATACCAAAGTAATAAAAATTAATAGCCCTGGAGAAGTCAATCCTGCAGAATTCGTGGGCGACCAGGAATACTCCAGAATCCCCAGCCGATATTAACAGTTCACCTCCCCCGGCCATTGCGTTCATGACCTTTTAATTGCCTTGATTGCCTTGATTTCCTTATCCATGGGCTAAATGCGACTAGTCGCATTCGATATATGTCCGGAGGAGAGGCCTCAGGACGCTGAACTGAACGAGGGAAAGGCTCCGTGCCGATCAGTTGGACAAGATGCACATCGTAATTCCCGCGGGCGCCCACCGGCCACCATCAAGGTTCAGACTATGGTGAGGCCTAGACCGACGGCGTCTGTTAGCGTCGGTTCCGCACCCGCAGTGGGGTGGTGTTGGTGCGTGGTGATACGAGCAATGCGCTAGGACAAAAGATGTCCTTTTTTCTTTTCTCTCCCTAAACTCCCTAAATTTCCATCCAGGCTAGTAGCTATCATGACAAAGGAATGTCGCGTAGGGATTAAGAAGCCGAAAGTGAGTTTTGTTCAAAGGGGGGAAACGTTCCAGTGGGCAAAAGAAAAGGGGAAACATAATAATAGTAGTAGTACTAGGAATTGGGCTAGTTGCACTGAGCTTCGCCCACTTGTCTCACCATCGCATTTTACCACTTTCCTTTCTCTTGTGCCTGCCCATTTTCTTACTCTGGGATGGCTGAGGTGCCTTCTCAGAGACCAAGACAACCGACTAACTTCTCCCAGGCCGTTAGTAACGGACGCTATCGAACCGGCCGGCAGAAGTTGCTTCGTACGGCATTTCGCCGACAGACTAGCTGTCGCCGAGCAAAGCTAGTGATGATGGTGATTTCCCACGTGCCAGACATCAAGCGGAATAGCGGTCTTTTTTTTTTCTTTTTCACATTCATTTCATTCCAACAGTATTATTGTTCTTGGGCCCTGACATCCTAGGAATGAGAGACCGACCAATCACAGCATTATGCCCGACACCCGTCAAGGTTGAAACCAAGCTCAATTTTCATCCCTTGTGTCTCAGCGGACTGTCGGTATTATTCCCCTTGTCAAGCAGCAAGGTCGTACAAGACCTGAATCCCCGGCTGGTTGAATGCATGCGATCGATCTTCTCGCCTCCCTCGCTTCGCCTGGGGGGGGGGG